CACATGTGTTTAACATGGCGGCGTTGTCGATAACATCGTTCGCAAAATACTTCTCAGATGAGCCTAAATCTTTAAACCGTGGCGAAAACCATTACCAATCTGGACACGTTCTATCTTTTTGCTATTGTGATGGAATTATCAGAGGGTCAGTGCAAGCGAGCATGAAAAGTACGACGTATAAAGTCACAGTAAGTGTAAAATTTCTATTACTCGATGTCTATCCGTTAACATCGCCAAACCAAAACTTATTTAAATTAAGTGATTTCGAATCTTCGTTTAAAGGAAATCTTGAAAAGTAAGCTTATATTTCTTTTTCTCTTTCCTTCGCAGATATATCTTCAAGAAAACGAAATACGTTCCACAGAATGCGAGTGCCCTCGTGGCGGTTCAAAGTGTAGTCACGCTGTAGCTCTGTTCCTTCATGGCTACCACAACTTAAGTAGAACTGACATCGAATGTCAGTGGAAGAAACAAAAGGCATCCGAGGTGGTTAAAACGGTAGAAGATCTGTATCCACCCAAAGAAACTAAAGTCCTAAAACGAAAAACTACAGATGAGGACAGAGAATGGCTACGGAACAAGCTGAAGAGATACGGCGAGTTCACAGGAATGTTATGGCTTTTGAGCCCCGAACCTGACAAAGAGAATCGTCTGCCGATCTCCACAGTCGAAGAAATCATTTTATCGAGAGAGTTTGTTGAAAGCGGACTTGATACAAATTTCTTGTTGGAAAAATTGAAAGTAAGTGAGCAGCAAGTGAAATCAGTCTGTGAGATCACGAAAGAGCAACGTGAATGTGGAGAGTGGCATGTGGTGAGAAAAGGACGTTTGACTGCTAGCAATTTTGGTCCAGTTCTTGAAGCAAAAAGAGTCACTCCTTCCCTTATCAAGCGTGTTCTTGGAGAATACGACATCTCTCGAGTGCAGGCTGTTCGATGGGGTGTCGTTAACGAGAAAGAAGGAATAAAGGCCTTCACCAAATTAACAATGAAAGTAGTAAAGGATTGTGGCCTTTGGCTACACAAGTCTGGTGTTTTGGGTGCATCACCAGATGGACTTGTTGATGACAATGCGATCATTGAAGTCAAATGCCCTTACACACATCGCAATTCAACAATTGAGGAGGCTGTTAAAGACCCTAAGTTCTGTTTAGTAAAGAGAGATGCTGGCTATTGTTTAAAACAATCCCACCACTACTGGCATCAAGTCCAGGGTCAGCTGTTTATAACTGGGAAGCAAATCTGTTACTTTGTGGTTTGGACAACAATGCAAACTGTTGTGTTGGCAATCCAGAAAGACTGCACATGGGAACCAAATCTTCTTTCACTTCAAGAATTTTATACAATTCACATGATTCCTGCACTTGTTGATGGTGGTCTTTAAATTTTAAGACTTTGTTGTAAAATTAATGTAGTTTTTTATAAAGTAATGGATTTGATAATACATACTTTTAGAAATATTTTTTAAAATATTGTTTTATTTGGTAAAATCATTGCAACTTTTACAACAAATATGCAGTAACTGAAGGGTGTATATAAAATAAAAATGTTCATGTTAATCTTAAAATTGTTTTTCTTTAAACAGCAACATTTGCTGGGGTTTTTACATTAGCTACTTGAGACAAGAAAATGATAGATTCATTGTAATCGTATTTGAATACAGTTGGTTATCTGAATTCATAATAAGACTAGCATAAGGGTGTGGTGGCAGGAATACTGATCAGAAATAAATAGTTTGTCATTAAGTTGTGTATCATGATTCCTTGTATCATGAGCAAGTAAAATAGGGTTACAAGCTTTTCACAGATCACACAACACCTGTCCACTCTTTGTATCAGAATACAGTTAATTGATTAACTATGATCAGACAATGCCAATGTATACCAGGCCTTAGTAAACTGATGTAAGATGATCAATATTTCAATTAAAATGACTAATCAAAGTCAACAGTGTCATTGGTTTCCTTAATTAATGGGTTTTGTAAATTAACTAAAGCACCACATAGCTGTATAATCTTACCAGAGAGGGATCGCAAGTATGGTGGCACAAAATTTAAAATTTTATAGTTCTTCAATCTAGCATTAGCACGTTCTACGTGTATACGACATTTTGCAATGCTCTTTGTTAACTTAACTTCACTTTCTGTAAATTTTCCATTGTTCAAGAATGGGGGAATGTTCACATATACACCATTAGGAACAATATCATTTATCAAAAACCCTTTATCCGCAAGTATAATATCCCCAGCAACAAAATGCTTTAATATTCCTGACTTTTGAACCGTTACTTTATCTGATACTGAGCCAGGGAAAAGTTTACTTACATAAGTTATAACCGCGTTGGGTGCCACACCAACAATTGTCTTAAAAGAATTCATACCCCTGTACGTTGAATATGTCAATTTTTGGTCACTCATAAGCTTAGGTGTAGCAACCTCGATATCGGTGCAATCTATTACCATACGACAGTCTCCAAATAAGCTAAATGAGCCTGGAAGTGAAGTTTTGTTTTTTTGTCTGGATGGAACAGCTATCTCCATTTGATCTTCATATAGAATTTGGTGCAAAACATGGATAAATGTTGTCACAATATTCGCTATTGTAGCAGTACTGCAACTAAAAAGTTCAGCTAAATGTAAGTTATGATAATTATGTCTAATCTTCATCAATGTTATCAATATTTGATCTTCAAAAGATATCTTGTCTACTTTCCAGCCACACACGTAAACAATATCGTTGCGGTATCTTTCGGCATATTCGACAACAATGTGGAACATTTCTTTGTTTGGGAGGCCAGTTTCCATGTTGATTACCTTTGAATCCATGTTAAAAGAGCTGTAGTTTCTTTTTAAGTAGCTTTCTTTTTCTTTCAACTCGGATACTTGGGTCTTTAATGTCCCTAGCTCTGCTTGTAGCAGGATATTTTCAGTCTGCAAAGTAGTGCATTTCATTTGCATCTCCTCGCAACTGAGCTCGCAAGGCTCGTTCTGGTTGCTCTTCGTCGAAGATTCTGAAAGGATCTGCTCGATAGTCGTTGTCTCTGGGACTTCAGTTCTTTGCTTTTTCCTTTTTGGAGCATTTCGAGATTCAAATAGTTTGTCTTTATTCCAGGAAAAGACCTCGGGGCCTTCTTCTTTACTTCCTCGGAAATGACAACTACAAACTCGAGCGCCTTTGCCAGGTTCACGATCAGCTCGTCTGGAGAGAGAAAACGAAGGTTTTAAACTTTAATCATAACGTAAAAAAAAGCTTTTTTTCTCTCTAGAGGTCTTTCAAAGGTATAATCCACAGGTCAGTGCACTTTTGAGTGGTTAAATAAAACCATCTTCCGCGTAACTATAACCGACACGTGGCCGTGCATCATGGTGGTCATTGTACCAAAAATCAACCTACCTTATTAGAGAAATCCATTTTCTTCTTTGAGCAGGATCTTTGGGGAAACGGTAAAAGCTGCAATTGTGACTTTCTGACTGATGATTGCAGTCGGGAACGAAGCATTGGCCCATTTTATGATGAGATGTAACGAAAGACGCCAAATAGTGTTTAGATCCAGCAAAAATGCTACCATGGTAACATGACGTCACACTTCGGCACTCTATCGGAGGGGGATAACTTTGTGTCCGGTCCATCCTTGTGCTTTAATTTCCACCCCGCCCTTGTTATCTCGATTGCTATGACTTGCGATAGTATCCAATCACCTGACCTTGACAACTCCGAGGTATATAACCACGAAATAGTCCGAACTGAAGGCATAGATTAACCACGGACTTCTCATAAACTTACCGGAAGCATGGTGACAACATTTGACCCCAGGTATGACGTAAAGTTGCACAATTATTTTCCAGAACTTCTCAACCTTTTTTCCTACTATCGGTACAGCTTTCCAATGTAATTTCTGCAAATTTTATCCATCTATTCTGTTTGGAAAATAGATGAGACACTTTTTGGAAAATACGATTCTCTTCTCCTTGGATGTAAATGTAAAATCTGATTATAAATGATGGCAATGTTGAGGGTTTGCCTTGCGTCTTTAACATGCAATCGTATCATGTTAATGATCTAGTCCCTGAAGTTTCAACTGAGTCGCTAGCTGGTCCGAAAAGACCACAAAGACGATAGGTCACATAATGAACAAAAGAGACTTGCGAAATGTACAATTAATAAGTCAATAACGACTTTTTCGCAAATTTTATTGCTTTTTTTTGCGCTGACTGGTTATTCAACCGTCAAACGTTTTGTTCAGCAAGCACAATAATGAACACTATAAAAAAGCACAGCAACAATCAATCGAAGACGTAGTATAGTGGATCTTTAAAACAAATTATCATAAAATCGCTAGTCATAGGTCACAGGTTCAGTAAATGTAAGTTGCTAGAACATTTCCTTACTTAAACCCAAATGGAATGTACTATTTGAAGGCTTTTTTTCCTTCTTACAACCACTCCCCTCAGCTTTTTCTCAACTGTTTTTTTTTTCTTTTTTCTATTTTCTCCTTTTTTTTCTTCGCTTTATAATTTTTTTAATTTTTTTGCATTTTTGGATTTTTTCAACTTTTTTTAAAATGTTCTACTCTTTTTAATTTTTTTTTAACTGACTTTGTTGTGTTTTTATCTTATCTGTGTTTTAATCAGTGTTGCCCTCTTCGGGTAAGTACATAATAGTTGCTTCTATCACCTTACTGCTGATAAAATAAATATGGGAGATTACCTATTTATGATAATAAACCAAACAAACTGACGATAAAGTAAATGTAAAGTATGCTAAGGGAACAAGACAATCGTCTAAACCTAAACAATTGTCTAATCCTAAAATATTCCCTACAAATGTAAACATAGTGTGTACATGTTCCAAGATAAGCATAATATTGGTATCGATCTCGATCAAAAACTTGTATGATGTACTGCCCAAGCACACTCGTGCACCTAAGTTGACAAACTTACTGATAAAACATTACGCTTAGTGGCAAAAAAAGAAAAAAAACTTTTTGAGAGTTCCCTCTCGGAAATTACGAGGTATCACTCTTGAAAATCTGAAGTTGGCCGCAACAAATGCGCAAAGTCTGAAATACCGTAAAACATTATCAATACTACTTCTAGCGCGTAACATGCTCTTAAATCTCTTTTTAAATTGCCGTTCCGAAATGATCCCCTTTAGATGAACTTGCCCTTTTAAGCTCCCATCATGCTTTTCCGGATATGATATTTAGAATCTCATGTCTCAAGATTTCCACCACTCTCCTCCCTACCTGATTCGTTACATTTTCCTCCTTTCAAACAATTCTGACTTTTTCGCGAAAGTGAGTACTTTTTTTTTTCTTTTCTGTCCCGTAGGATTGAGTTTGTTTTACCTTTTTTTGGTCTTTTTTCTAAATTTTTGTGATGATTCTTTTAACTACTGACACATTCACATAAAATATCTATATCTATGAGTTTCATAACACTTCTCTGTCTGGCTCTTTTATAACTACTCTATACACAACACACACTACCAATCACAGAAGATAGACGGATACTGTTTCCTAAACCTAACAAACGGGTTAAGTAGACACCAATTGAACAGGAAAGGGAACAACTGGAGCAAACATAAAAATAGTAATAAATAATACTACTGCTACTGCTAATAATAATATTTATAGGAAGAAAATATGAATATGACTAATGATTACACTGCAACCCTTAAAAATAGAAGTAACAGTTACATTATAAAAATTATTTGCTATAGCAGATTTCATCGTGCTGCTATTTTGTCGCTGTAAACCATTGCTGTAGCTTCTACACAATCTTTCAGGGATCTCGAGAATTTACACATACAGTAGTACTGTAGTAACCCTGACACTGATGGCCTCTGGGATAAGGTATAGACATGCAAGCTTAAAAGGTATTTAAATTATAAGTCACAAATATCGATCGATGTCAAAACGTCAACACAAACAAACGAACAAACAAACCAAAGAGCACTACAAAACAAGCAAAAAAATCACACACAAAATAAAAATATAATCGACTGGGATCATTTCCTGAGTCAAGATAAAAAGAGACTTGTCAACCATTTTATTGCAAGTTTCTGACGTTTGAAAAGCCGACCAGTTACGCGGAAGTGAAATACTTCTGCGGCATGAGAATTTGCCCTTGGTGAGCCAGTGAATGGTGATGGTGTTCGATTATCTTGCGCTGATCTAAGCTTAGAACTGCATTGAGTAACAGTTCTAGGACGGCACTAAGTCATCGTATGTGCCGTAACATCTTGAATCTGGCTCTTAACCAGCAATTTTATAATTTTCCCAGGTGTTTTTTTCCGGCACATTTAAGCCAAAGCTCTAACCACAATTTTTTGAAAGAAATTGACAAGCTAATGTTTTGTAACAATTTCCCGTGATGGTGGTTACCAAATTAGATGTTAAGTATCAAAGGTGAGAATACTGAATATAAGTGATTGTACCCATACATGTATCTTCACATACTCTATGTATTCTGGTGCACGGCTATAACATGCAGAATAAACGTAGTCATTGCTTCACGTTGTGAGAGACACTGAATTAGGATACCTTCTATTTCTGAGTAAAGCAAAGGCATGCTGGACAACGAACCAGCTCCTTTCTCGTCTCTGTTGGCAAGCTTTTTGAAATATTGTGATAGAATTATCTCGCTAAAATTAATTGAAAGGGAGAACAAGTGAACAAAAGGTGATAACAAGTGAGCACAAAGGGATAACAACTGAGAGCTGTCCTGCGTATTACAACACTTTATCTAGCTACTCTGAAAAAATATCATTCAAAACACTATCAAATTTACTTCTCCCCACAAAACTTAAACAAACGTGAACTTCATATCAAATATAAGTGTCATAAACAATGCTGCATAATGTTGCAAATTCAAACAAAAACAAGTGTAACTAGCTAGACCGTGATTATACAGATTCTTGAATCAAGGACAATATGCCCTACTTTCTATTGAATTGGTGCATTAATTACCAATCAACTACACCTCCTCAAACAGTTTTGAAGCCACATCTTTTCCATGTGGTGGCTCAAAGCAGTTCGCAGTACTTATGATTCGATTTGTTATCACTTTCACCCTGAACTGGCCGCTAGTGAAACATTAGCACCGAACGAAGGTCCAATCATTGGTTAATGCGGGTCTCCTTGTCTGCCTAACTCTGTCCTAATCAAAAAAGATCATACCGTAAATATTTTATTCATCTACTTGTCTGTTATATAATTACTCACGTTCAGTTACTCGTTGATTGAAGATGGCATAAGCATGCCGAAACATGTCTTTAAAAAAAGTTGTATATTTCTTACAATATTTATCCTACCTGCTACTACTACGACCTTATGAAGTAGATCTATGAAGAAAGGGAGTAAGTGCTAAAGAAACTGTGGTGCTGCGTCGATGGGAGTGACGAGGTAACTTTGGTTTTATCAATTGAGTTGATAACGGAAATTGGCCACCGTAAAGAGTTTAAAAGCTGACGTTTCGAGCGTTAGACCTTTGACAGAGCGAAGGGCTAAGGAAGCTCTTACGAAGGGCTAACGAAGCTCTTACGAAGGGCTAACGACGCTCTTACGAAGGGCAAACGAAGCTCTGACGAAGGGCTAACGAAGCTCTGACGAAGGGCTGACGAAGCTCTGACGAAGACCTAGCGCTCGAAACGTCAGCGTTTAAACTCTTTACGGTGGCCAATTTCCGTTATCAACTCAATTGATAAAACCAAAGTTACCTCGTCACTCCCATCGATTGTTAGAGTACTGTAAAACAGGCGCGTCCTGGTTGCACACATGACATTATGCATCTGATGTGTACTAAGTCTTAATTAACACTGAGCATAAGACGCTCACTTATAGGCAAGTAGGCGTCAAGGATAATCGAAGTGTGAAAAGGACAGCTAATAAGTCAGCATGCGCATGTTGCAACGATTAGATCACCCCTGATGAAGGCACAAGACAGGAGTGTCGAAACGTTGGGTCTATGAATTGTAACTTCTTGGTTACGTTCATTAACGGTTTAAACCAGCGTAGCATCAAACCATGTCTGATTGTCCACCTGGTTGCTTTGTGGACTTTAATTAATATATCAAAGGATAATAGATTTGCGCCGAGTTCAATCCTCCATGGAGTTGCTTGTTTCAAAAGCGCTGTTGCGGTACGAGGTTTTGCTTTCACTCTTAAAGATTGTCATTGGCATTTTTTGATTGTTCTTCTCTGATCCTAAAAGAAGTAGTCATAATCTCCACGCTGTTATCTTTACATTTCCAAGAACACAGACAAGGAGAATATATTTGACGATCAAGAGCTGTGGAAATTATTGATAATTTGCTTCATTCTCATGACCTTTACATTTGATTCAAAGGTGATTCTGTAAGGAGAAATTACAAGTCAGTCACTCTGAGAATTTTAAGAGTTAACTGACCACCGTTGTTCCCTTTGGGTCTTTTCGAGTTGCCTTGATATCTTTCTTCTCGGCGGGATAAACCTCCATTTGATTCCAATTTCTGATCTACTCGGCCTGTAATATGTCTTGCACATCGAACGTGACCATCACTAGCGCCT